TAATTAAAACAAAACAAAAGGCCATTCTGTCAAGCCAGCTGCTTTAGGGTGGTGGGGAACATGGTAAGACCAGTGAATTTCATGAGGATGAGCCCATTGCCTCACTATTTGCTGTGAAGTGAGTTCCTTGATCAGAAGCAATGATATATATAATACTATGATGGTAGATGAGACATTCTGTAAATCCATGTATGGTAGTTTAGGCAGGAGAAATGCATGCAGGGAAGGCAAATCCATATCCAGAATGTGTAATTCAGTAATTATGTCTCTTCCATGATGGAAGTAGACCAGTGTAATCAACCTGCCACCAGGTACTTAGCTGATCACCTTGGGGGATAGTGCCATATTAGGGACTCAGTGTTGGTCTCTATTGCTAACAGATTGAACACTCAGTAGTAGCTGCAGTCAGGTCAGCCTTGGTGCGTGGAAGTCCATGGTGCTGAGTCCATACATAACAACCCTGCCACCATGGCCACTTTATTCATGAGCTCATTGGGCAGTTCCCTGCATGGCTGGAGAAAAAGGCTGACCAGGTCATCCTGTCTACTTGGTTATTAAAATCCCCTTCTGCTGAAGTCATTCTTTAATGCCATTCATATGAGACACAAATATTTTTCACCAATTTAGAGAGATCTGTTTATGTACCTCTTCCACAGACCTTTTTGTCACCAATTTTCCAATCATCTTCCCTCCAAGTTCCTAACAATCCAGCAAACCAGTAGCCATAGCTTGTGCATTAGTACCTAATTGTACGTCTAGCCATTTCTTCTTTGTAGCAAAGTGAACAACCAGATGGTCAAAGTTTTGCCCATTGGGAGGATTTCCCTTTACTAGTTTGTTTCAGGACTATCTCATACAGTTGCCCACTTCCAGATGGTGCCTGTGTGTCATGCAGAACTATCTGTAAACCAGTCCTGAGTTCCCTTCTTTCTCTGTCAGCTGATTGTGGGGAACTCCCCATAAGACCATAGTTGCAGGCTGGAAAAGAGAGGGTAGTATAGGCCAGGCATGGTGGCTCATGCCTATAATCCCAGCCCTTTGGGAGGCTGAGGTGGGCGGATCACTTGAGGTCAGAAATTCAAGACCAGGCTGGCCAACATGGCAAAACCCCACCTCTACTAAAAATACAAAAATTAGCTGGGTGTAGTGGCGTGCGCCATGTGCCTATAGTCCCAGCAACTCAGGAGGCTGAGGCACAAGAATCGCTTGAACCTTGGAGGCAGAGGTTGCAGTGAGCAGAGACTATGCCACTGTACTCCAGCTTGAGCAACAGAGTGAGAAAAAAAAAAAAAACAACAGAGAGAGGGTAATATAGCAGGAATGGGGACTGTGGCAATGTTCCTTAAGTATTCATCCAAGTCCTACTTTAGCCTGATCTCATATATACCACTTTAATTTGGTGATGGAGTCCTACTGTGTATGCACAATTTTATGGCTTGGTAGGTCAAATAACACCCAGTTCATGATGAGTAGTAGCTCAGGTCTCATGGTAACTTAGTGGCCCCTGATTAAGTATTCAGTCTATACTAAGACATAATAACAAACCAAGAACTATTTCCCAAAAGGAGTATAGTTATCTGTGAACAACAGCTGGGCTTTGATTCAATGTCGTGAAGGGATGTGCTCCAATTCACCTGTGGGTGCTTGCCAGTGACTCCAAATGGCATTGCTATCTGCCATTGACACTTCAAGCACCATTGGATGTGCTGGATCATATGACCCAAGTGGTAAAGCAGCTTGAATAGCAGCCTGAATCTGTTGTGTAGAGCCACTTTCTGTTCTGGGACCCACTCAAAACTGTCAGGTTTTTGGGTCACTTGGTAAATGGGCCAGAGTAACACAGCCAAATGAAGACTGTGTTGCCTCCAAAATCCAAACAGGCTTACTACATGTTGTGCCTCTTTCTGGGTTGTAGGATGCAACAAGTTATCCTTCACCTTACAAGGGATATGTCTCCATATCACTGCACTCCTAGAAATTCCACTGAGGTAGAAGGCCCCTGAATTTCTGTCAGATTTCCCATCCTCTGACATGCAGCTATGTTACCAGTAAGTCAAATGTAGTTGCTGCTTCTCACTCATTAGGTCCAATCAGCATAATGTCATCAGTGTAATGGACTAGCCTAATATCTTGTAAAAGAGAAAGATGGTCAAGGTTCTTGTGAAACAAATTATGACATAGGACTAGAGAGCTGATATACCTCTGCAGCAGGACAGTGGTATTGCTGGATTTGCCCCCTGAAAGCAAACAACTTAGAGTGTACTTATGGTGGGCCTTAATAAAGACAGGTGTGGAGAAAAGAGCATTTGTTAGAAAACTAGCTGCATACGGGTACCAGGGGATGTGTTAATTTGTCCAAGCAATGAAACCACATTTAGCACAGCAGCTATAATGGCAGTCATCATTAGTTAAGTTTGTGATAATCCACTGTCCAGGAGTCATCTGTCTTCTACACAGGCTGAATAGGAGAGTTGAAGGAGGATATGGTGGGAATCACCAACTCTGCATCTTTCAAGTCTTTGATGGTGGCCCTAACCTCTGCAATCCCTCCAGGAATATGCAGTATTGCTTTTGATTACCATTTTCCCAGGTAGAAGTCATTCTAATGGGTTCTGCCTGGCTCTTCCACCACAATAACCTTCACTTCGCAGGTCAAGGAACCAATGAGGGATTCTGACAGTTGTTGAGTATGTCTCTTTCAATTATGTACTATGGAACAGGGAAAATAACCCACAAGAAGGTTGCAAGGACGCACTGGACCTACATGAGACAGATCTGAGCTAGGGCTGCCCTCACAAAGTTATTTTTCACAGTCATGATGAGAGAAAGGTGTGTCTTCTAGAACCTCCCAGGTTTGGTGAGTAGGCCTTAAATAAACCTTTTAATACTTGAACATTCCAGTGTCCCTAAAGCCTCTTCTCCTATGGACCTCTTCTTCTAGAGTATACCAAGGCAGTTCTGGCATTTCAACTTCATGTCGTTTAGGCCACCTTTTAGTCCATGTTTCATCCAGCTGTTCAAACAAACTGTTAAAGCTCGTTCTTACCCTATGGGCTGCAACATTAAGTGTGGAAGTGTGGAACTGCTGCTTAATGAGCTCGTATCAGTAAATTCAGCCTAATCCAACTTTATATTTTTTCACCATTATCCCATACATTTAATATCTATTCCTATACATATTTCCTTGGCTTTTGTCTGTGTAAATTGGAGAAATTATGTAGTACTATGGAGTAGAGCATAATTCCTTATGGGTCACACTTCACACCTCACCTTTAGGAGTCTGCTGAGACTTGAATTAATTATAGGTCTAGAAGCAAAGAGGAGTCGTGGGGGTGAATCAGGAGTGCCTTGCATGGCAGATACCTCAGGGGTGTCTCAGGCCAAATAAAGTTAATCTCAGATACGGATGGAGTGGCTTCTTCTACTGGCAAAGAAGACTCAGAATTTAAGAGTTCAATTTTGCCAGCTTCATCAGGATCTTCCCAAATAACCTCCATTCCAAATTTTAGAATCCTATTTCTTCCTGGTCAGTGCCCTCACTTTATTAGCAAGCAACCTGTGAGGTTGTGAATTTAGTTTACATTGTAATTCATCCACTTAAAGAATGAGATTCTGAATTTGGTTTTCATCAGTCTCAGCTCTGCAACTATATGGGTAAGAGTTTTTTTTCAGGGCAGTCATAGAAACTTTATGGTCATTCATAAAGTACTTATACTAATAATTCAAATCTCTTAGCTCATCCTTTCTCTACTTTGTTCAGCACAATTAGCATCAGCCAGCCAATCTCATTCAAAATTATATATGTGGTCACCTGAAACCTTGCCTCTCAAAAGTATTTTATTAGGAATATCCAGTGGTGGTATTTTGTGCTCTGCTGCCACGTCACATTATGGATTATCAGTACTCTTTTTTTTCTACTGGAAAGAGTCATTAGGGCCTTTAAATCTAATCAGATTAGAGAACTAACCACAGAACCAATTTAGAAACCATCCTTAAGATTCTTCTCTAGAATCACTGTCATTACTAAGGTCTGTGTTAGGATTCTCCAGAATAACAGAATTAATAGAATATGTGAATACGCATGTACATACATATGTGTGTGGCAGGGGTGGTGGGGGGAGAGAGAGATTGAGAAAGATTGAGACTGATTTTAAGGAATTTTCTCAACTAATTGTAAAGACTAGCAAGTCCAAAATTTGCAGGGCAGGCCGACAGACTGGAGACCCATGGAAGAGTTAATGCAGTTAATTTTGTGGTTCAAGTGAGAAAGCATTGAGGCAGAATTCTTTTTTCTTGGGGAAATGTCAGGCTTTTTCTCTTAAGGCCTTCAACTGATTGGATGAGGCCCACCCACATTATAGAGAATAAACTACTTTACTCAGAGTCTACAGAGTCTACTGATTTAAATGTTAATCTTAACTGAAAAATGCCTTTGCAACAACATATGGATTGGTGTTTAACCAAATGTCTGGGTACCATGGCCTTGCTAACTTGACACGTAAAATTAATAATCACAGTGTATATGTACATATTTAACACTAACCCACTGACTCCTGGCAAAATATCTGTGTATATGTTTATATAGATATTTTTCCATATGTATATATGTGTCAGAGAGAAATATATATACAAAGGTTAAAATATTTTCATTTATAAATTCTTGATATGGGTATAACTATCTTAAAATGACCCAGATTTGGTGACTTGGAATGTTTGATATATTTTAATAAGACTCTTCTGTATGATAAGCTTTATTTATAAACATAGTGCTCATAGTGAGTATTCAGCATAAGCAGGATAGGACTGAAGAATTCTAGCTATTGCACTTCAGATCTGACCTGAAACAATTTCTGCCATCTTAGTTTGTGAAATAGACATACTTGAAATTCCTCTTAGAAAGGAATAAAAACTCTGGTTAAAATAGGATAAAATAACTTCATCTTAGACTGAAAGATGAGCACTATTACATGTTGATCAGTATGTTGGGCTTTTTAATTTAGATTTTTAAAGAGCGAGAAGAAGATTTGAGGCGTTTGTCTCGCCCATTGGAATGTTCTTGTTTCCGAACATCTATCTGGGATGAAACTCTCTATAAGGTGTGTATGTCTCCCTGAGTTCCCTCATTTTAAGAGCATGAAAAAAAAACTAGAAGAATATTAACAAAACTAAAAGATTTTAAACTATTTCATAGCCACCTAGATTTGTTGTACTAAAAAGAGAAATAATCTGCAACAAATTGTTTGAAGAATATCAAACTTTAAGAGACTTGGGTTTTGATACCAGATTGGGTCGACATAGTTACCAAATCACACTGAATTAGCTGGTTTGGTCATGATTAATTTGATACTGGTCTTTGTGATATGCAGAGGTTTCACTTACTGGCCATCATCCATTTTGACCTGTTGTGGTCTCAATGCTGATTGGAGTTGTATCTAGTATTCAGGTACACTACACGATATAAACTAGTTTGCCTAAGTTTGGATGGCAATAAAATGAAAATATTTAGGGAAGAGACTGGAGAAGGAGTCTTAGAATCAGACATGTTATGCCTAGCATATGATATGATAGCTTCAACATTCATGCCAAATTGGAGACGAGCATTCTTTCAACCAGAAGTACTGTTCCCATTGCTGGAATGGATACCACACTGCTTACACTAATTATACAGGTTACAACAATAGTTTTGTTATGGATGATGCTGAAATTACCTTACTGGGCACATATGCTCCTTAGCCTGATTCCTCCCTTTCTCCTACGGATGTAGTTATTTGAAGGACTAGCTCCTTTTGGATCCTCCTATAGTTAACCCTTTTCTTCAGACTGTTTCTGGTATCCATTGACAAGTCTGACTCTGGGTAGGAAAGCACCCTTCTCTGTCACTGGTAGCTAAAGACTCAGTGTCAACGGCATCTGACAAGTATCTACAACCAAAAGCACAGAAACCTGACATGCCAAGGAGAAAAACCATTGGACTTTTAAATAGCATTGCTTTTTTTTTTTTTTTTAACTAATTCATTTTCCCCAATATTATGTTGACCCAGCTTCACTCTAATAACAGATCATTTTGAGATACCTGTCTAGGAAATACTGTTCTAGATTAATATGGGCCGAATTTCTCTCAAAGCCTTATTCCCATAGAACAGGTAACCGTGAATAAGGATGGACATGACGCACTGATAAGAACCAACTGCGGTGTGAAGGATGGCAATACATAACACGACCAAAGACAATTGGCTAATCACAACACTGCTGTGAGTGACAATGTCTCTGCTGTGGTTAGCTTTGGTGCCTTCTCCAAGGTAAATTCAGCAGTGACATTAACACCGACCTGGGAACTTGGAACCTGAACCCTCATGCCTAAGTAATAAAATTAATTGGAACAGAGACATGGCACTTCTATCTCTTACATCCATGTTGCATAGAGCTGACTTAAATTTTTATATTAAGTTTTATTCAACAAGCACTCATTACATACCTGCTTGATGCTGTTGGATACACAAATGACTAAGACCAGGTTCCTGCCCTCTCGTAGGGGAGAGAAGAACAAAGTACACCTTACCAGACAAATTGGAGTGAGAGTGAAGGAAGTATTATGAAAATACAAATCAAAGAGCCTACAAGAATAGAGGGAGAGTGTAGTTAATTTCAACTGCTTACATTAGTCATACTCCTGGATGAAGTCAGTTTTAGGCAAACACACAAACCATTTTGAATTCAATTGATCAATAATTTATGCAGATAACAACAGACCTTTGGGAATGATAATGCCACTAGTTTCTCTTGTAATGGTATATTATTCCATTGAGGGGAGGGCCCATTTGTCTATGTGGCTCTGCTATTTTCATAAAATTGATTTTTGGGTGTATGTTAAATATAGCATCATTAGGTTCTGATCTTTAGAGAAATCTACACTGTTGGACTTAAATCTTTGTTTAATGATTAGATTAGAAGTTTCTAAGCACAGTAGATCATATTTTTCAACTTTGTTCCTAAGGCAACATGATAGCATTAAATATTTGTTTGCTTCCAATTATCAGTGGAAAGAAGTTTCTCCAGCATTTTTCAAAAGTGTCTGAACTTTAAAAAATTTCAACTCAAGAGTAAAAATCAGATGCTAGCTTCATTTTCTCATTTCATTTGTGTTATATCATATTTAATGTCAGTCTTTGTTTGGGACTGGATTATCATCATATTTTGCTGTCCACATGTTATAGTGTACTTACTCATTTCAAAGGTCTGGGACTGGCTAGCTGTTAATAATAGTACACTGTGTTTCTGTTCTGTTAGGCTTGGTCCAGCATAGTTTATCAGCTGATTCCCAATGTTCAGCAGCTAGAAATGAACCTAAGGAATTTTGCTGAAATTATCGAAGCAGATGAAGTACTTCTGTTTGAGAGAGCCACTTTTCTGGTAAGAACTTTCTCTGTTGCAGATGAACTTCACACTGTACCTTCTTTGTTTTCAGCAACAGAGAATAGCATGTCACTGCTTTCAGGAAGAATCTTTTTTCCTCTTGTCAACTTCAGCATGTACAGCCTTATTTGTAAAATAGTATTGTCAGCAAGTGACCTGAAGGAAGCTCTTTGGTGTGTAGTTCTTTAGAAGTTAGTGAACCTTAGATTTTTGCAGGTATGTCTTACTAGAGAGCTCAGATTATTTGTGCTAATAACTGTTCATTTGTGTTAATGGATTCCTATTTCCTGTGGACTTTTATTATGAAATGTGGGATATTTTCCTTTTGAGAAAACTCACATCCTATCCTTTTCTCTAAAAGACTGACTGAAAACTTTTAACATAGAAGAGATGTTATGGTCATCTCAGTGACATAGGAGTTCACATGAAGAATTAGAGAGGGAAAGAGGCATGTTGGTATTTTAATTTTTCTTGTAAATTGAACTTAGCAACTATATTGGAGCTTACTGTGTATATAGCCCTGAAAGGGGGATGCAAAAACTGGTAATGTATTTGTAAATACATTTTAAAAACAGCAATAATAGAAACTAATTTAAGATTTCACAACACACTGCATAAGTAATTGCTAATTAGCCTTGGTAAATATAACTCTAAGAGCAGTTCCCAGTGAATAATTTTTTTCTGAGCCTTGCCAATGCTTGGTGATTTTAGAAACAATTCTTCATCTCTAGGGGCTTGTTTTCCTTCTACAAATATCTGTATCATAGGTTTATTGTGCAGATTAAAATGGGCCACAGGAACATTGAGCACCTAGCAAGCCTTGGCATTTAGTTGATAAACTATTAAATATTGATTCCTTTTGCTACTATAACAACAGGGCAGAGAATCCAAAGTACAATTTTCCCCTCTCCATTTGTGGAAATATTATTTGTAACCCTAGAAGTATTTGGGAGCCATCCTTCTTGCTAGCTGGTACAGATGGGCAAGGAGTCCTAATTAGAGTATCTTTTTGTCTCAGCCCACTGGCAGAGGTCACTTGCTTGGAACTGTGCTACCCTGAGCCTGTTTTTCCTTCTAGTGTAAGTAGCAGTGAGCAAGAAAGCTATTCCATCTTGACATACGTGGCAGGACCAAAACCTTCTTCCGCAGTATTCTCCTAGCATGTTCTGCCACACATGGTTGTAGAGGTTAACCTAATATAATCTCCCTGTTCCTCACTAAAAGTAACACGTAGTTTTTGTTTCTCTTGAGACCAAGTTTAAAGGTGACTGAACATTTTCACTGAGGTGGGGTGAAGTCAAGCAAGGGGAATTTGTTCTTCCATTGGTTTAGAAATTATGTTTTGAAATGTTCACATTGTGTCATGGAATTTGCCTGTGAGTTTTCTTCTGGTGAGTGACTCAGTTTTGCTTCCTACTCTGCACTGGTATATTCAGCCTTTAGGTAATACTTGTGTGGTTTTATTAAAATCTGAAAATGTTAGAAAAAGTATTTTCAGCTGGTGTGGGTGTCCATCCTGAATAAGCTCATTTGTAAATAGTCCTCAGGGATTAGAATCAACCAGTTAAGCTTTTAAGATATAGTTCCAAAAGCTATTTGGTTAGCTTGGTCCTTATTAAAATTAAACACATGATATACTCTTCGAGAACAGCTAGTAATTTTTATTTGTTTTTCTTTTTGATTTATACTTTTTAAAAATCAAAGACTATTGTGAAATATTGAAATAAAATGAATATTTAGTGATTAAAGTTAGAAAAAATAGCAGTGAACCAAAATAGGCAATACTTAAATGATTTAATAAAATTAAAACCAAACGGTACTAGATGGGCCATCCAAATGGATGTTGAAATCACACAGAATGTTGGTAAGATATAGGACAGAGGAAAAGAAAAAACAAGCCAGGTAGCTCCCAAGTCTACCTTGAAAACTAGAGTGACCAAGGGACTGACAAATGTCTGCTTTGAGGAGTAGCAGAGGATGACTGTTTTGCATGGATTCAAAGGACAATATTTTTTTTTTATAGGTAATTTCTCACTATCAGTGTAAAGAACAGCGTGATGCCCATAGATTTGAGAAAATAAGCAACATTATTAAGCAGTTCAAGCTGAGCTGCAGGTAAGAGATCTTGTAGGTATGATCTCCTTATCTCTTGAAAAAATTGTTGTCATTTTATAGAAGTTCAAATAACTATAGTTTACTTCTATATTCAGAATAGTTCCTTCAATCAAAGAGAAAGCTAAATTCTAAGGGGCCTCCAGTTGACCGAAGTGCAGGTCCTTGTCCTTTAATGCAAACTCAGCTGGTACAGAAGAAGCATATGAAAAATATCCAAACAGAATATCCTTTTGAGATGATTGATACTATCTGGGAAGAAATAAACAGAATATCGAAGAGAGTTTTGAAAAAGAAGAAGGAATGAAGGAAAATTTGCCATACTGAATACCAAAATTTATCTAAAATTACTACTTTAAGTATTTACTATTTTAAGTAATTAAAATAGTGAGGTACTGATTCAGAAATGGTACAGAATAGAGAATCTAGAAGTGTTTAATCATATTGTATTAGCTTTCATTAAATAAAATTTGAATCATAGCATTGTGAATATAGGAAAAGAATGGCTGAACATCGTAATTTAGCAAAGATTTAATAATCAAAATCCTTACCCTGATAAAAGTTTGATGCCAGAACAACAGTATAAGCTTACTGTCTTTATGCCTTAGTACACTTTGAGACTTTCTGGAATGTTGTAACGCTAACATTTTTAAGAAGAAATAGCCAATGATAAGCAAATATAGTTGCCTTGTTTGTTTTCAAAGAAATAGGATCATTTCTTGAATTTAAATGTAACTCTGAAAAGATACATGTATTAATTTCAATGATAAGGAAATTTCAACTTAAGATGCTTATTAAATACTGGAGACGTCTTTTGAAACATGATTTTAAACATGGATCTAGGTCTAAGCCAATTTTCATTTCACAGTCAGTTTCAAGTGCTTTAGCCAGATGTGGTGGCATGCACCTCTGTAGTCCCAGCTACGTGGGAGACTTAGGCAGAAGGATCACTTGAACCAGGATTTCGATGCTGCAGTGAGCCAGACTGCACTCCAGTCTGGGTGACAGAGTGAGACTCTGACTCGTAAAAAAATAAATTAAAATTTAAAAAAAAATCAAATCCTAGCCCACTTTTGTCCCAGTTACTTTTCAAAATATGATAAATTCAGCATAAAAGTTTCCTTGGAAAAAGTGGAGTTAGTGAGTAACCATCTTAATGAAGTGGTGAATTGAGGTATAATGCTATAAAAAATGTTTAACATAAATGATAAAGAGGTTGTTACGGTGTTATTATTTTGTTCTTTACTCACTTTTCTTCTTTTTCCTATAGCAAGCTGGCTGCCTCTTTCCAGAGTATGGAAGTCAGGAATTCTAACTTCGCTGCTTTCATTGACATCTTTACATCCAACACTTATGTGATGGTTGTGATGTCTGATCCGTCCATTCGTAAGTTTAAACTTAGCTGACCTAGGTTCAAAGCCACATATTCTTTAAACAGTTGTCCCAGAGGTAGTACTTTATTAGATACTTAAAAGCTGTTTTATAGTGGGGATGCTTACACAACAGTGTGAAGGCACTTAATCCCAATGAACTGTATGCTTAAAAATAATTAAAATAATAAACTTTGTGTTATGTATATTTTACCAAAATTAAAAAAAGACTATTTTAGTACTAGTGGTAGTTTTTATTTAATAGACTTATATTTTAAAGCTTAAAAATAATTTAACCTCCAGGGTACTACGTTTTTCTTCATGGGTACTTGAAAAAGCGAGTCACTAAATCCAAGAATTTTAAAGAAAAGAGAACCCAAATCCATGATTTATGCTCCATATGGTATAGATTTTTAAAAGACTAGTCAATCTAAACTCTAAACTATTAAATGACAAACCATTTTATATATCATTGCATATTCCTATGTACTATATTCTCATATTTTTGCTATGAGCATGAAGGGGTGTTTGATGCTTCCATACCATAATGGCCATGACTGTCACAACCATTGAAATAAAGGTTCTTGCAGTATTTTCAGGATGGTCCTAGAAGTTTAATCTCACATCCGTTGGCTTTTCCTACAGTTAATATTAAAATATAACAAATTTACAGGTTTTATGCTTTTAGCTCCAAACCAAAAGATTTTGGAAATTTATTTTGGAAAATTTTGTGTTTAGAATATGAATAAATCTTCTGCTTATTTGGAAAAATTAAACCTTGATAACTTGGGACCTCCTATTTCTGTGTGTTCTCTGACATACATTGAGGGATTTGGCTCTCTTTTGTTTATTTGCTTTTACTAGTCAGACATTCCTTTGGCTGCCCATACTTAATTCTGTTGGATGTCTCCCCGCCCCTACCCTCAGCTTCTGCAGCTACTCTGATCAACATCCGCAATGCCAGGAAACACTTTGAAAAGCTGGAAAGAGTGGATGGACCAAAGCAGTGTCTTCTCATGCGCTAAACATTGATGAATATTGTTTCACACAAAAATTTAAAGTTTCATAATTAATCTTAATGTTGTATTCATATATGTAGGCTCCGAAATGTTGTGATGCTTATTGCTTCTGTATTTCTTCTCTACTCCCTAGTCTTAATGTTTAACCTTGAATGCTATTTACTTAAATAGCCATTGAGGAGTTAGAAGATGAATTGTTCATGAAGTCAGTGTAACATAAAAGTAGGTGATATGTAAGTTTTCCGATAACAAGGTTCTAATAGTGTTTAAATGTACTGGCAACCTGGTTCTAATCGTTGTATTTGCCAAAGCCTTTCTCAGCATCATCTTGTATTCCTTATCAGATAGTAAGTAACCTGTAAGTTTGGAGTATTACTGTTTTCTCAGCATGCATTAAAAATATTCCTTAACTTCAATTGTAAATAAACTTTTGCTGTTAGGGATTTCAGTGTCTATTTTTCTTTTCCTTGTTTTTTCAACTTTGTCCTAAGAAAGTAAAGGAATTTCACAGTTATTCTAGGTGAAGTGGACCTTTTGGTTGGAAAGGCACAGAATAAAGTTGGATGGGAAAGATGTAGCCAGATTATGGCCTTAAAGCAAGGCAGAAGAATTCAGATATATGACATCTAAATGTGATAGGATACAGGAAAGCATTGTAGGCCTTTGAGCAAGGAAATTATATGCAAACAATTTTGAAAGAAAGTTAACCTAGACCATATGAACTGACTGATGGCAGGTGGGGAAGCTCTGGTAGTAATCCATGCTTGAAGTGTATTGAAAGTATGCAACTGGAGAAGGAATGCGTAAAAGGGGGAGGGAAAGTAGAATTTATGAGGTCCAGGAGTGGTTAATTGTATATATTCCATATCACCCAATGAAATGTACCTACATTATTCTATTAAGCAGTATTAAAACCTTTTTCAAGCTGGCAATTGTCTTTAACTTTACCTACCAAGGAAAAAATGAAGCACTGTGAACTGTGAGAAATGGAATTTAATAACACTAACTAGAATTACTCAAAGCCCTAACCTTTTCAATGTCCATTTGAAAATTGAAAACAGAAGACAGAACCATTTATGGAATCTATAGCACAGTAGACAGTAGACTCATCTCATTTCTCCTTCTCTGTGTCATAAAGGAACTTCTAGACCACTGGTCTCTCACCTCTTCTCATCTTAGTTTATTATTCCCAGTTGAGGAATAAGTGGAGTTTTCGCTGAGAAGCAAAAAAAAAAAAAAAAAAAAAAGCTGTTGTTTTGAGTGGTCTACGTTATGTAGACTAAATCTCTCAACTTGTAAAAGAATTTTATGGGACTAATTCTGTCAATAGCTGTGTGAATCTTCTGCAGAAGGAGAGATCTAAGTGTTCTAGAGTCTCTATCCTGTTAGCATCTAGGAAAATGAAAAGAGTTCAGGAAAATGAAAAGATATTGAACAGGGGTGTATTCTGTGACTAGTAATGAGTCACGATTTGGCATGTTACCATTATTTTCAGTATCTGGGGTGGGATTTAGAAGTGGGATTCACTTCTAAATTAGACATTCATACTACTGGAATGTGTTCTTAAGATAGATATTGATACATATAGAGGCATTAAATTAGATGAACCCAGAAAAATCTTAATTATATCTTTATCCTATTTGCCCTTAGTGCATTCAGTCCCTGCTCAGATTCTAGTTATAACTTGGTCATGGATGTTTTGAAAAGGTTAGAAAAATGAGGTCCTTCTTATGGTGATGGCCAAATAGCTGTTTTTGTCACTGAAGACAACAGAGTTTTGAGATATATATTTATCCAAAGATGCAGTCATTTAGAAACAAGTAGAATCAGGTAGATGGTGAAGGCATTCACATAGAAACAGATGGAGAGAAGAAATCAAAATTAGAGATAAAATGAAATGACACAGTGAAATAATGCTTTTTATAGGCCATGTTAACTATGTCAATAGGATAGCGCAGTGAGTCTCAAACTTAAGTATGCATCAGAATCACTTGGAGAGAGGCTTATTAAAACAGATTGCTGCCCCACCCCAAAAGTGTCAGGTTCAGCAGGTCTAGGGTGAGGCTCATGTATCTACACTTCTAACACATTCCCAGATGATGCTGATCCTGCTGGTCCAGGGACTACACTTTGGAAACCACTACTTTAGGGAAGAGAAGAGGAAATGTAGACATGGAAACAAGTATGGGAAAAACGTGGGTTCACCACTTTGGCAATAATAAAATGAAGGCATTATACCATGTATGATATGTACATTTTAAACCACTGATTCTTAAAGTGATCTGTAAATTTGAGAAGCACAGTTGTAGACAAAAGCAATCCCTGGGAAGTTTGTGTTCCATAGGTAATATGTTGTAACTGGAAACCCTTGCTAGTATAAAGAGAGTATGGGTACTGATTTGTATTGGGACGATCTAACTTGTTCCAGTTTCATCCAGCTTTATTTGCTAACTCAATAGGACATAAAGAAAATTTAGGTGGATTGCCAAATGAAAATGGTGCTGTACTTTAGTTGAGTACTTACTAAGTGTCAGGCTGTAAGTGCTTTATAAGGATTATCTCAGTTAATCTTTACAAGAACCCCATGGCCTAAGTACTATCACTGTCTCCATTTTGAAGATGGGGAAACTGGACTCAGAGAGGATAAGAAACTTGCTAATAGTTATTGTAGTAATGACAAAGCTGGGATTTGAATTCGGTCTAACTCCGGGGCTCATGCACTTAAAATCTTAACCTAAGTTATATGGCCTTCCTGAATGTAAGGGCCTATTCGGGGTGGAGAGTATGACGTACACCCAGGTGTGGTACTTCACTGTGAAACTACCACTATTTGGCTACTATGAAATAGTAAAGCAAACACTTGTGAACCTATCTTACTCCTGGTTTTACTGAAGCATAGAAAGCCTTACCACAGTAGGCAGTACAAAGCAGTCACCAGGAAAACAAAGCAAAAACCCCTCCAGCTTGAAGGATTTATGTCAAACCTAAACAGTTTTTTGATATTTAGAAGTTTTGTCCCTGAATTGGGACAGTTATAGTCTCTACTTCTCGGGGGCCATTTATTAATAAAAATAGGAGGGAGAAAGTGTGTAACTTTGTAACTTTTTTTTAGGTCTTTCAACAGTGCTTTGTGTAGGCCAGTTTATTATTTCCCACTCAAATTCCTGACTCTTCATTATAAAGCAAGAAGTGGTTAGAGCCCTCCTGTAGTCCTCACTAACAAAATTTCTCACCTCGTTAATTAGTCAAAAGATGTTTTTTTAAACAAACAGTGCCTTACTATGTTTCAGGCACTGTTTTTGGAGCCCAGGATACAAGAGTGAACAAAATAAAGCCCTGTACTCATGGAGTTTATATTCTAGGAAGAGGAGACAGACAACCAATTAAGTAAACATAATATATTAAGAGAGACAGTTATATGAAGAAAATTTAAGCAGTAATGTGGGAAGGGGCTGGGACAGGCAGAATAATGGCCCCATAGAGGATTACATCCTAATCCCTGGACCTATGAATATGTTATATTGCATGGCAATGAGGAATTAAGCTTGCAGACAGAATATAGGCTACTAATCAGCTGCCCCCAAGATAAGGAAGTCATCCAGGTTTATCCAAATACCCTAATGTAATCATAAGAGCCTTTTAAATGTGAAAGAGGGAGGTAAGAGAGTTAACATCAGAATGACTTGCTGTGAGAAAGACTCAGTTTGCTGTTCTTTGCTTTGAAGATGGAGACCGGGCCTTGAGCCAACAAATGTGAGCAGCCACTAGAAGCTGGAAAAGGCAAGGAAACTGATTCTTTCCTAGAGTCTCAAGAAAGAAACAGAGCCCTGCTGACAACTGGATTTTAGCCCAGTGAAACCCATGTCGGACTTCTAACATCCGGAAATGTAATAAATTTGTATTGTTTTAAGCCACTAAGTTTGGCAATTTGTTACAGCAGCAATAGTAAACTGTATTAATTGGGGTTCTGCAGAGAAACAGAACCAATAGTATGTGTGTGTGTATATACAAATTTAGTATCAGGAATTGGCTGACATAATTCTGGAGGCTGAGAAGTTCTAAGATCTACAATCAGCAAGTCGAAGACCCAAGAGAGCATATGATGCAGTTACAATCTGAGTCCAACAACCAGAGAACCAGGAGAACTGATATGTAAGCTCCAGTTTAAAAGCTGGCAGGCTTGAGACTAAAAAAGAACCAGTGTTTCAGTTCAAGTCTGAATGCAGGTAAGACTAATGTCCTGGCTAAAGGCATTCAGGCAGGAGAAGTTCCCCCTTATTAATGGGAGAGTCAGCCTTTTTTTTTTAACTCTGGTTTAGATTCTGGGGTACATGTGCAGATCAGGCAAGAATGTTGCATAGGTACATTCATTGTAAGTGGTTTGCTGCCTCCATCCCCCCCATCACCTATACCTGACATTTCTCCCCACGTTATCCCTCCCTACTCTCCCTCTTCCTCCCCTAGCACCCTGCAATGGACCCCAGTGTGCAATGCTCCCCTCTCTGTGTCCACATGTTCCCATTGTTCAACACCCGCCTATGAGTGAGAACACGCGGTGTTTGATTTTCTGTTCTTGTGTCAGTTTTGCTGAGAATGATGGTTTCCAGGTTCATCCATGTCCCTACAAAGTACATGAACTTATCTTTTTTATAGCTGCATAGTATTCCATGGTGCATATGTGCCACATTTTCTTTGTCTAGTCTATCGTCGATGGGCATTTGGGTTGGTTCCAGGTCTTTGCTATTGTAAACTGTGCTGCAATGAACATTCGTGTGCATGTGTCTTTATAATAAAATGATTTATAATCCTTTGGGCATATACCCAGTAATGGGATTGTGGGGTCAAATGGAATTTCTATTTCCAGATCCTTGAGGAATCACCACACTGTCTTCCACAATGGTTGAACAAATTTACACTCCCACCAACCGTGTAAAAGTGTTCCTATTTCTCCACATCCCCTCCAGCATCTGTTGTCTCCAGATTTTTTTTTTTTTTTTTTTTTTTTTTTTTTGGAGATGGAGTTTCGCTCTTGTTACCCAGGCTGGAGTGCAATGGCGCGATCTCGGCTCACCGCAACCTCCGCCTCCTGGGTTCAGGCAATTCTCCTGCCTCAGCCTCCTGAGTAGCTGGGATTACAGGCACACACCACCATGCCCAGCTAATGTTTTGTAGTTTTAGTAGAGACGGGGTTTCACCATGTTGACCAGGATGGTCTCGATCTCTTGACCTCGTGATCCACCCGCCTCGGCCTCCCAAAGTGCAGGGATTACAGGCTTGAGCCACCGCGCTCGGCCCAGATTTTTTTAATGATCACAATTCTGACTGGTGTGAGATGGTATCTCAATGTGGTTTTAATTTGCATTTCTCTAATGACAAGTAATGATGAGCATTGTTTCATATGTTTGTTGGCTTCATATATGTCTTCTTTTGAAAAGTGTCTGTCCATATCCTTTGCCCACTTTTGAATGGGCTTGTTTGTTTTTTTCTTGTAAATCTGTTTTAGTTCTTTGCAGATTCTAGATATTAGCCTTTTATCTGACGGGTAGATTGCAAAAATTTTTGCCCATTCTGTTAGTTGCCGGTTCACTCTAATGATTGTTTCTTTTTTCTTTTTCTTTTTTTTTTTTTTTACATTTGTACTATTTCTTATATTTGCCATGTACGACAATTAGTATTGTTCTTTATTTTTTTCATGTGGATTTGAGTTACTGTCTAATGCCTTTCACTTCAGCCTGAAGAATTACCTTTAGTATTTCTGGTAGGGCAGGCCTGCTAATGAACAATTCTCTCAGGTTTTATCTATCTAGGAGTATCTTAATTTCTCCCTCAATTTTTTTTTGTTTTTGTTTAAAATTCTCTTGTTGAAAAATTCTTTTTTTTTTTCTTTTTCTTTCTTTTTTTTAAATTGCATTTTAGGTTTTGGGGTACATGTGAAGAACATGAAAGATTGTTGCATAGGTACACACATGGCAGTGTGATTTGCTGCCTTCCTCTCCATCACCTATATCTGGCATTTCTCCCCGTGCTATCTCTCCCCAACTCCCCACCCTTCACTGTCCCTCCTCTGTTTCCCCCAACAGACCCCAGTGTGTGATGCTCCCCTCCCTGTGTCCATGTGTTCTCATTGTTCAATACCCGCCGATGAGTGAGAACATGCGGTGTTTGATTTTCTGTTCTTGTGTCAGTTTGCTGAGAATGATGGTTTCCAGGTTCATCCATGTCCCTGCAAAGACACGAACTCATCGTT